GGACAATATATATGTTTAAGGAACAAGGAACTAAATTGGTACACCAAAAGTTCAGAGCCACTTGGAAAGTTTTTGAAAGTCTTCACATTTGATTTATTGTTCTTATCCCCCCCGGTGAATTAACTGCCTACTTCAACAAATATTAAACACACACACACACACACACAAAATAAATAAAAAATAAAAAAAAATTACAGGTTCAAAGCAGAAGGCGTGAGTCTTGGGTTGTGGAAGCTTCCCCTGGAACTACATTTCCCGAAGTCCGTAAGCCCCAGTCCTGGTTGGTTTGCTGACTGTTCTTGAGGCGGGTCACATCTGCCAATACTGTGACGAGACTGTCCTCAACCGGCAGGAGGCGGCCAATCATAGGGAGAGGGCGGCTGCTTCTGATTTTGGTTTGGAACAAACCCTGTGCAGTTCTTCGGTGGCATTTTGCGGAGCGTAGGGGAGGTGGGGAGTCTTAACCCGGAGTTTATGTTCCTTATCTCCACCATCCGAATCAGAACTCGTCTTTAAGTATTTCCCTCCTAATCCAGCACCTCTGCGTCCCAGCCTCCTTTTCCTTGTTGAACGCACTTTGGGGTAAAATCTCTCCCCATCCCCCGCAAGAATCTCTTTCCACCTGTGCAAACTCGTGCTGGGTATCTGTTTCTAAGCACCCAAGGGAGACTGGGGTCAAAAAGTCCATCTCCCTCTTGTGACCCGACCCTCCTGAAGAGCAAAGACGCAGATCGGATTGCAGGGCGGACCGAGGGGTCTGAACCTGAGTGGCCGCGTGGCGCTCACTGCTACGGGCGCTCCCACCCCCATCCCCACACCCCCGGGTCCCCACAACTGAATCGGGGTGGTGTGTCACAGCGTGGCTACAGCCCTTCCTCTTCGGCAGCCTGTTCTGTCTAGCAATGACCTGCCACTGCCAGAATCATTTCATCCACTGTAACAGCTTCGGGGAAGAGCCTGGGTTTCCGAACCCAACGGGTGTCTCTCCTTTCCTAGGACATTTCTAAGTCTGTCATTCCTTTGCCCCTGACATAATCGTTGCCTAGACGCCCCCTTTTTTAAGAAACTCCAATCCAAGTCAATCCAGAACAAAGTCCACAATAAGGCAACAACAATAAAGGGTGCAGCCAGCCGCCGGGAGCGGGCACCCCGGGAAAG